TTATCACTATTTTAACAAATCAAAACTGCCACATGCTCTTCCTTATTTAAAAAGTCTTGGGTTAAGCACCGGAGAATTTTCATAAGCAAATTCTTCTGTGTGGGCTGGATCAGTAAACACACCAATAAAATCTATTTCCAGGAAGAACGGACCATCTACTTTATCAGCCAGGGTGAATCCTATAGAAGAAATCTAAATTGAAAACAGAGAAACTGATTAAAATCTCAACCACTGATGTACTGCTGTCCCTGAGTCTTTACACTACAGACTGCCATTATTCCATTAGGTGGGCCATTCAAGAATAGGAAGGACTGGCAAGCGCAAAGGCCTGAGTTTAATCCCTGGTTCCACAAAAAAAAAAAAAAAAGGATAATTTCTTTTTTGCTATTTTTTATTCTCTTTAAAAAGAAAAAAAAAAAAAACCAGGTTCCACAAAAAAAAAAAAAAAAAAAAATAGGAAGGACAACAGGAATGCCTAATGGAGATACCTTAAGCGCTTCTCTTTTTGCTCATTTGTTTTTAGACAGAGTCTCACTACGTACTTTAAGTTGGCCTTGAGCTCATTATGTAGCCCAGGCTGGCTTCAAACTTCAGGTGATCCTACTGCCTCAGCCTCTTGAGTGCTGGGATTACAGGTCTGTACCACCACACCCAGCACTGGAGCTCCTCTGATTTCTTGTTTGAAAACAGAAATAAATTGAAGGCACACTGAAAAGATGTTGACAGCAATGTCCCAACAGGATGGGGCTAGCTCACAAGATAAGTCTGATTCTGGGCACAGTACAGAGCCCTGTGTAGGAATTTCATATTTCATCTGCCAGCTTCCCACAGTGAGCTAAGCTTATCCTCATGGAGACTGTTTCACTACAGTATCATCCTGGCTGAAGAGTATATGAAAAATCTTACCTTATCAAGCAGAAGCTTGTATTGGGCATCCCGAATTCTTCCTTTATTTGAGAAGAAAAATTTGGAAAAGGGAATCTGAAAGAAAACATTATAGCTGAGAAATAAGCAATTGAAGCATCTGTGTGGAACTGTAATGCTGAAAGAATAATCTTTTTTTTTTTTTTTGTATTTTTTAGGGAAGGGTCTACAGGGTGCTCAGGGTCTCACTACTAGATTGGACATAGTGATCTACCTGTTTACAGCCTCCCAAGAGCTAGGATTACAGGCACATGCTACAATGCCATCTCGATCACTGTCTCAGCCCCAGGAGCTGGCACGGCAAGCCCAGGGATTGAACCCTGACCCCTGTGCCTGCTTGCAGGCACTTTAATCCACTGAGCTATTTGGCCAGCCCTTAAACTTCATAATTAAGGCCGATCCTACAATCCCAGCCCTCAGAGAGCTCATGCAGGAAGATCGTTTTGACTTCCTAACTGGGCTACAAAGTAAGCTCAAGGTCGGCCTGAGAAGCTGTTTGGATCAAAGACACAAGAGCATGAACCCAGGAGTTTGTGCATGCAAGGCAAGTCCTCTTTGACAGTGATACTCCCAACCTGAAGACAGACATTTCTAAAACCAGCTGGGTATGGTGGTGCACACCAGTAATGCCAGAACTCAAGGCTGAGGCAGAAATTCATGATAAAGTCAGACTGCATCACAGGACTGTTGAAAAAGGAAAAAGAAATGAGAAAACAAGAAGCTGGGCGCAGTGGTGCACACCCTTAATCACTGGGTAGGCTGAAGCAAGAGTACTGTAAATCTGAAGTTAGCCAGGGCAATTTAGTCTCTAATAAATACCTGGAAATATAGCACAATGCATCCTGGTTTAATACTCAATAGTATAAAAGCAAAACAAAACAAAAACCTAGAAAACCCAACCTTTTTAAGCCAGGAATCCCAAAGGAAAAGTGATAAAGTACAAATTATAGCAGCAAAGACAGAAAATAAACTACGAAAAACAAAATACTTTTAACAGACAAGAGGATATCCTAAGCACACCTTTTATAAATAACTAAGGAAGGGGCCAGGCATGGTGGCACATGCTTGTAATCTCAGCACTTAGGAGACTGAGGTGGGAAGACAGCTGTAAATTGGAGGCTGGGCTGGGCTCCACAGTGAATTCAAGATCAGCCTGAACTGCATCACAAGACTCTCTCAGAAAACAAAACACCTAAAAAAAACATTAAACCATCAAACAGAAAAATGAGGATGGAAATGAACACTATTGTTGTTGTTTTAATGTATTTGGTACAAGGTCTCACTACGCAGCTTGGACTTGTAGTGATCCTCCTGTTTGCAGTCCCCAGCGCTAGGATTACAGGTGTGTTGCCACCACACTTAGTCTCAGTGGCAGGCTCAGCGTGTGGTGCTGAGAAGTGAACCTTTTCCCTGCACTTGCCTAAGCAGGCACTTAGTCCCCTGAGCTAGCTCGCAAACAGTTTTTAGAGGGAGAATGGCAGCTGGCAAGTGTGACAGGCAGCATTCTGAGGTGGCCCTGACAATTCCCACCTGTTGGTATACATGCTCCTCCCAAGTATCCAATCAAACTGTGATCTCACCTGCAGTACAGGGTTTTTGTTTGTTCGTTTGCTTGTTTTTTGGCGGAACCGGGGATTGAACTCAGGCCCTTGCTCTTGCCAGAGAAGCACTTATCCACTGAGCCATCTCCCTAGCCCCCTTTTTATCTTTTTTTTTTTTTTTTAGCACAGGGATTTTGCAATAAGAGTTAAGGCTCCAAGTCAGTCACCCTCACTCAGTAAATTGCCCTGTGTACACATGACAAACATGTGAGCCCATGAAGAGGACTGGAGAAAGAGAGCATGAGAGTCAGGGGAGGGAGCCGCTCCGGAATCCCATATGGCCAACAGCAAGGCTAGGAGGACTTCGGCTCTATAATCACAAAGAATTGAATTTTCCTTAGAACCAAAATAAGCTAAGTCAGTCTTTCTCAGAAACTCCAAAGAGCATAACCCAGCAGACATCAACTGAGAGCAGGCTTGGTAGTGTGAAATCCCAGCACTCAGGAGAGTGAGGCAGGAGGAGTGCTACAAGTTTAAGGCCAGCCTGGGCTACATCGTGAGTTTAAGACCATCTAGAACTGCATAGTGAGATGCTGTCTCAAAAACAAAACAAAACATTGAGAAAAAAAAGTGCCCAGCTGAGCCTGCTGGCACACATCTATAATCTAGCATCTGAGAGGCTGAGACAAGAGCCTGTGAATTTAAGCCCATTCTGGGCAATTTAGCAGCTTGGCAAGACCCCGTCTCAAAATGAAAAATAAAGGGGCCGGAGAGATAGCTCAATAGAATAAGCGCTTGTCTGGCAAGTGCAAGGGCTTGAGTTCAATCCCCGGTTCCA